TTTAGGTTAGCATAGCCCGCGGCGCGAAGCCCGGCGCACGCCTTGAAATTACACGTGGAACAACTTACTCCCAGCGGCCGCGGGAAACAACTTCGACTGCTTTTTTTCACTTTAAACTTGCTTTTTATAATTTCCTTCTCTGCCTATCCTATTTCCCCACCCCCGAAACCCTATAACCACCGTTTTCGTAGGACAAAATGCTGGGACCAGGGGTATATGAGTGGGACTACATAAGCTACTTTTGCCACTGCTTCTCATATTAGTATGTAGTTAAGTTGATATGATGCAGTGAGATGGGATCGTGATGTTGATGAGAACGTGCGAGGATTCGGAAAATTCCTTGTCATATAGCATAATGGGAGTGCGACAGAAGGAATTAATCGCGGACAATAGAGTCAGCGGGGAGCTCGGCGGGGACAACGGGGTCGAAACAAAGAGAGGACAGTAGATGCTACGAGAACATCACAAAAATGCCGGAGATGCAACCAAGCATACTGCAGAGTCCACCGAAAAGCTGGCGGAAACACAAGAATCCGCGACAATCATCAACAGCGACCGCGAAGACCACCGTCAGGGTTGCAAAAGGTAGAAGAGTTGACGGCATTTGGAAATGAAGTTTGACTCTGTTTACACTACTAGCCTTTGTGCAGCTCCCGACGGAGCCCGAAGATGAGCCCCAAGGGAGAACAATACGAGTGAGTTGCCCGTCAGCGATCAGTGAACATTCATCAACGAGTGTGTCAATATTTCCCGATCTAAACCGACAAGACAACGAGCTCCTGGTTCAATGGTTAGGGCGTTGGAGTCCCGATCAACAGATTGCGAGTTCGAGTCTCGCGTGTTGGATAAGACTGACTAATGAGCCAGCAGTAGCCCTTCCAGTCTCCTCTGTCTTTGCTGGCAATGTGCCAGACCTGAAAATCCGCCCAGTTCGCAAGTGATCTGCTCTGAAGGCCGCTTGACTATCTATCCGCAGACCAGTAGACAGGTCCGTCCTCCCCGATAAGAAGCAAAGGCAGGCAATTTTAAAAATCAGCAGCTAACACAGGCTTACTTTTGAGCGTACCTTCAAGCAAACAGACTGCCTGCTGTGACACAGAGGACGTTTATGCAAATCACACGGAACTTGGTGCAGTGTGCGTGAACGTGTGTGGGTGCATGCGCAGGCGACATCTTAGCTACTTGAGGACACACAATATCACCACACCGACCTTAATTCCATCGCTGCCACATTTCTCGCTTCTAGAAATGGTCGTTGTCAGCAAATGAACGTATTTCGCGAAAAAGCTGCGCTGAGGAAGTTAAGAATTACTGTCTTATTCTCCATTGAACATTTGCCTGCATGGAGCAAAGCTTTCTTCCAAAAAACGCCGTTATTTAAGTTACAGAGTAAAACACTACTCATATTTTGATAGTAGGTGTATTTATACAAGTTTTAATTTGTGACAGTGGGGAACTGTTTATGCCAATTCATCAAAAAAAATCGCTCGCGCATCTGAAAACTGGCACGAGATTGACTTCAAGTCAAGTCAAGTCAAGTTTATCAAAGGAAATATAGGCAAACGCCTTTGAACTCCCTCTTGGTACATAGTCTTTAAGAAATGAATCGGCACAGCCGGACATTCCAAAGAAGTCGTTAACACAATTGTAGACGACTACTCGCTTGTTTCAAGTAATACACTCGCACTCAGTTCACGCGAGCCCCATCTGTTTAACTGAGCAAAAAGAGCAGACAGTGAAAAAACTCTTAAGGCTGGTTCATGTTACAATAGACTGAAATACACCGCTGACAGAAATTTTCTTAGGGTATGTCTGTTTGGAAGGTACGCACTACAAGTACGAATCTAGTATAAGTTCTGCAACACATTCCACCTCCATCGATGTTGTCATCGTATTCTTTTTCTTCGATAACCGGTACTGATATTGAGTTCGCAGTCAATA